TGGAAGGAGGGAATACATGGGAAAACATATACACCAACATGAGCTCACTCCACTGCTAGCTCCTCGGTTCCATCAAGGAAAATCCCCGTACTACGACATGGTGGGTTCGTCCACTGGACTCATTTCTTCAATACATCCATCATGTGACATGTGTGTTCTTTTTGCGCGGCCAGGATGGCAACACCAAACAAAACTTCAGGAAAAGATAGGAAAGGGCGGAAAGAGTATAGCTTCCCTTGCTTTCCTGATCTAACATCCAGTCACTGGAAACACAGGATTCCAACCTCACTTGATCAAATGACCCTGAAAAAGTGAGGAAAACCTCCAAAACTGGCCAAATGCACAGGCAGCACAGGAAGTGCCCAAGCGTCTATATATAGACATGTCTAGACTCAAGAAGTAGTCAGGTGTCGATGGAGGTGACCTTTCTCATGATGTCCAAGGCCAGAACATCACCAAACTCCTCTTTTTCCGATACTTGCCGTTTGGCTCCAGATGTTCTTTATTGCCTTGAGAAATCTTAAGAGCTTGGTCCAGCCGGTCTTTTTCTCGGCACCCCAGAGAAAACAAAGAAGACATGCGAGCGAAAACGACTTCATTCAACTAGGATTCCTTCCACCAACTCCTCTTCCAGATCTCTTCGTTCGAACCGTCACCCTTTCGCTTCGCTGCAGGTCGTCGCCCGATGGCCGCCGATGCCGTCGGCGTATTTCGGATCGGTCGCCGGACTCGGTGCTCCGGGACCATGAAGTCCATCTGAGGCCTGGGATGCGGGGGCTGTGGTGGTTTTGGAAGGTTGCCTTCATCTAATTGGTTGGGCAGGTGGCAACACGAGAGCTCAAGAGTAGGATGGGTTTTGGAAGGTGTTTTTGGAACAAAGAGCCCTGTGCTTTGGCACAGGACTGCGTCTCGCTGGCTGGATAAAGACGTGTTTCCCCTATGCTCGATGCCTCATTCAACCAGAACTAACAGCGTCCTGGACAGCCCTGACGCCTCCATCACGCCGTGAGCTGCTTGGGGTGGGTGGGAATATCCCAAGGATGCCTCCATCAAGGAGGCAAACCCATTCACCACCCCAAACCACCACATGATGTGGCCGTGATTTGCATGTTGTAAACAATCACCCAATGTGGAGAAAGCCCTGATGCCCATGACACTCGACCCTGAACGGATCGGGCAGCAATCCAAGTTTGGTCACCCACCCTGTGAACGAATGACCTCGACGGAAGTTCAGAAATGCGGACTTCCGAAATGTGGATCATATTGTGGATCCCAAACGAAAACTACGAGACAACCCTGCAAAGATCTGCTAAGGCATATGTCTGGAGAATGCATTTTGGGGCTGGTGGTATACTGAGATTCTTTGGAGACTCGCCACAAAAGCATGGTGAAACTGCGTCGAAATCAGCGCGGTCAGATCAAGCCTGGACTGCAGTGAATGTTGATGGACCAAACTGAAACCCGGCTGGCAATGAGCCTTGTTCGCTTTTAAGTCAAGACCAACCCACCAACAAAAACGGAGGGATCGTTGGACTGTTCTTGGTGGTGGGAGGTCTTCATTTGGGCGCATGTCAACCAACATCAGTGGCTTTGACCGCCTCAATCTGCCCATCAATCCCTGGATCTCCGAATCTGCCGATTTCATCTGAGCACCGCACATGAGCAGGGCCTCCGCGTAACGGAAATCGCTAAGGGGAGCAACGACCCAAACTGGAACCGATGAGAGTGAGAGCGAGGGCCCATTAAGCCTCTCAAATGGTGACAGACTGTGGCGATGTCTGGTGCAGAAGAGTTCCCTGACTTCACACCTTGTTGCAGTTGGGTGTACATTATAGAAAAGGGAGAGCCTCTGCAGTGTATTAGTTTGGGCCTTTGCTTCATGCCTAGTCTACAAAGCAGTGGTGGCCCTGAGTCGCGGCTGAAGCGTCAAGATGACGTCGACACTCTCTTCAGAGGTCCGGTCCGGTCATGAAGGATCTCTGCCAGCCTCCCTCCTTCGTGTCGACACGCCCATTTCTCCATTTCTCCAGTTCCCTGTACCTTGGGTCTATCCGATCTATCCCGTAACAGTGGATGATTATGGTTCCGTTGCCGGCCTTTCTCAAACATCGTGATACTTGTTTACTCACGCGCACAGGTAATAGGAGAGGCCCAACCTATACCAATGATGCATCGGTGTGCAGTCCACTCCCTCCTGCTATCTACATCGCTGTGCAGTCCTGCCCTTCACAGATCACCCACAGATCGCCTCATAGCCACGAGAAAAGATCGGACTGCTGGGCGTGGGTGGAACCCTGAGCGCGCAGCGGCGCGCAGCGGGTAGGGGGTCCTCGTGGGTCGCCGCGTCGCAGCGCGACGCGACGCTCCATCTGGATTGGGAACCAAGGGATTTGGGTCACAGGAAACCACCGATCTTCACGCCCAAAACGCTGGGGGTGTCCTGTGAATTTCTCCCCTAAACCGGTTCTGAGAAAACAGGTAGCCGCCAGCTCTTCAGTCACCTTTCAGAGGTCGGGCCCCAAAACGGTCAGACGAGGTCAGGTGAAGCAGGTCTTTCTTGATCTCCCCTCAAGGCTATCCGGAATTCCTTCCACAAATGGCTAAAATCCACTCTTAACCCATGTAGAACCATGTAGAACTTAATTCTCCTGTTTGTAATGTGTTGTAGAAACATTGCAAGACTTGGACCAAAACCCTTTGCGACCTTGTGCCAGGTTTCCTGAGAAGACCCGTGCTAGACAAAGGAAACGATGCTAGATGCAGCCTTTTTGACAGCGCGAGCGAAGGTTCCAGCAACATACACTTATGATATGTCATACAAAAAAATACATTCCAACTTCCAGCTTCAGTTGAGTTTCCGTCGTTTCGCCCATGGGCAATTCTCAAAGGCATCATCGGCGATGTGTGTTCCTGAGGCGATACTCAAGCTCGCCAGAGACCTACAGTTCTTGAAAGCAGCGTTCCCTATGGCCACCGAACCTGGGATGTGCAGGCTTGCCAAAGAGCTACATTCCGAAAAGGCGGCAATGCCAATGCGTGTCACTGAGGTTGGGATAGTCAAGCTTACCAAAGATCTGCACCTCAAAAAAGCAAAAGTCCCAATGTCGGTCAGTGAGTCTGCGAAAGTGAGGGTCACCAAAGAGCCACAATTCGCAAAGGCACCATCCCCGATGTGGGTGACTGAGTCTGGGATGGTCAATGATTCCAACGCACTGCAACTCCCAAAGGCCCCCTTCCCAATGTGGGTGACTGAATTCGCGATAGTCAAGTTCACCAAAGATCTGCATCTCAAAAAGGCAAAAGCCCCAATGTGGGTCACTGAGTTGGGGATGGTCAAGTTCTCCAAAGAGCTGCAATCCGAAAAGGTATAGGGAGCGATCTGGGTCACCGAGTTTGGGATGCTCAAGATTTGCAAAGAGCTGCAACTCTTGAAGGCAGCATTCCCAATGTGTGCCACCGAGTCTGGAAGCGTCAATGTCACCAAAGAGGTGCAACTTGCGAAGGCACCATTATCAATGTGCGTCACTGAGTGCGGCATAGTCAAGTTCACCAATGAGCTGCAGTTCTGAAAGGCCCATTTTCCAATATTGCTCACAGAGTCTGGGATTGTGACTTTGGCCAAACTCTTGCAGCTGTCAAAAGCAAAACTATGAACATGAGCTTCACTGTCTGGGATTTCAACCACAAGCAAAAGCTCCAAGTCAATTTCACTGAGACTATCAGCGATCGCACCTTTGTTGGCACATCTAACTGTATTTGCCTTGAAAACAACGCTGACAACGGCATCTGAAGCCAGCCCTGCATCTGCCACCTTCTCATCATCGCCGACCATTCGGTCTCCAACCAGAATCATCACGCCAGTCGTTCTGCGAGTGACCTCGTCCCAGGTTTGCCTGTCTTTGACCTGCCTCTTCAGCTCTCTGCCAGTCATCTCTGACGTCACTTCGAGACACAACTGCTCGCCATTGACCTGCAATGCTGAAATCTTCATCGCCATGGGCACTTTTCTACTTCGACATCTCACCAGTTGGGGGGATCGCTGAAGTTGATTGCACCGTCGAAAAACGTGGAAGCTTTTGTTGACCATTTGAGAGTATGAGCTCATCAGTGGCTTGTGGCTCGGGAATGGAGAGGCTTTTGGAGCTGCTACGGTCCTATAGAGTGGTGACCAGCTACGGCAGTGTTCCCACAATCGAAGATTTGCTTGCTCGTGGGGGTTTCCCCAATGCGAGGATTATTTCTTCCCTTGGATTCCATGGTCAAATGGATCGCGAACATGATCCAAGAAGATCCATTGAATTAGAATTGTTATCCTCATCATGATCCAATCAGAGCTGCACGAATCCAGTCTGTGAAATTCATCACAAACACCTGTGTCCAAAGGATGCATTTACTTGATCCCAGTTTGCTGCACTTGTCAGAAACAAACAATAACTACAAACACCCATGGTGCATTCCTTGCTATATTCCGTCGGCAATGCCACAATCAAACCACCTGGTTTGGTGATGTTTGATGTGCTGTAGTCCTGACCCAACCGCCAGAGTTCTCCGACACAGTGTCCCAGTGGATCTCGTTTTGACGGACTCGTCGTTTTGACGGACTCGTCGTTTTGACGGGCTCGTCTTGCAGGTGCGGCTGAACCCAAAACGCACAGTTTCTACCGGAGATGTTTTCGGCTTGGTGGATTCTATATCTATCTACTCCAGATAATGGTTGTACTTGTTTGCAGTTGGGAGGGAGGGCAGAAACACTTGAGCCGTCTCTAGACGGCCTAGATCTTGCCTGACTCCTTCAGTTTCCCTGGACAAGAACCTTTCACCTAGCTGCTAGCTGTCTTGTTTAGTGGGGAAACCACTCACCAAAGAAGGTGACCTGCAGTTGATCCACTGACTGGGTCCCGTTTTTACCACCTCCCCAGGACCCTCCCGGCGAACGAACTCCGCGCGAGCTCGCGGTGGTCGGTTCAGCGCTCGTCCCAAGTGGCAGGAAGGCAGGGGTTTCAGGCACCACTCGCAGGTCTGACCGTGCCTGGAGACGATCGATCGGCTTGTACGACCGCGGACTAGCCGGCAGTGCGTTTGCTTTACAGGTGTTCACCCACGTTCTTTCCTTCTCAGAAGATAACAGTAAAGCGGCTTTCTACACGGCCAAACAACCTCACCACTTTGAGTCTCACCACTGAGTGGTGCTGAAAACCAAAAACGGCTCAAAGGCGGGGAGAAGTAAGCACTCTTTCAAAAAAATACCTGTCGAATCACGTATAACCCCATCGAATCACCTCCTTTTCTGTCCACCCACAATCCGCCGACACACCAGTCCCAGGAATTCCCGCTTCCAAATCCTGCGCCCCTTGGCCCGAGGGGACGCTCGTTCGTCGATCTGGAAGATCCAAGATGATTGATCTGGGTCAGTTTAATGTTATTAACCACCAGCTCAGAAAGTGGGGATATCGGAGCTCGGATGTCCCTAAGATGTCCCACTTATATATTTACACTTGGCGCCTGAACAAAAGACACCTTTTGGATCCTTTTGGACGCACATTGCGGTTCTTGAATGCTTTTGGCAGTGTCAGCTCCCGTGGGGACCCCCTTGAGTCGTACTTGTGGAGAACTGCAGATGTGAAGAAAACTGCGAAGCTTCGGTAGAAAACCCATTAAAGAAGACCAGGGGAACAAACAAGCATCCCGGGAAGAGCAGGTTTTGTAAGTACTAGCCAGAAGCTACTATAGTAGTACGGTCCGTGGCCAAAGAGTCCCATCACTATTTGGTGTAGGATGATTTTGGGGATCTGGTTTCTTAGACAGGTGAAGGCGGCTACGACAAACTTAGATGACCCATGCAAATGTCGAATATGTCGAATGACAAACAGTCAACAAGACCACAACAAACCCAAAACCAAAGATCGCATCAACAACAACCTAGAATGCCGCAACAGTCTCAGTCAGAACAGCCTTTCCTCAGCCCGCTTAAAAGTCAGCTCCTATAGCCATCAAAAAGAAAAAACTTTGGTCAAGTTCCAGAGCTCTTCAGTGAGCCTTTCAGTACTTCCCAAGTTCCGCCGCCCTTCAGATGTCGTGTTTGGCAAGACATCTGGCCCAAGGACAAACAAACCTCCCAGCCTTTTCCCTAGGGATCGAACCGCCTTCTGTGGTGGGACTGGGGTGGGTGCCAGGAGGGTCTAAACACCTTCTGAGGAAGTCCTTGGAGGTCTGGCGCTTCTATGAGCCTCAGTGCAGCCATTCACCCCAGCCGGCCTCACTGACGCCCATTTCCTGAGGAACAAGTGGCAGGTCTTTGTTCCAGGATTTCGAGAGGCAATAGCAACGAAATAGCCGGACCCGACCGCGCAACACCTCGATTAAGACACCAGTGCTTAACTACTAGGTTGCTGTCTTGGTCCATTCCCACCACCGGATCAATGCGCTTTTCATTTCGTGAGTGGAGCGCTCCGTTTCAAGAACTGGGAAGGTTTCACCTTGCCCAATGAGCGGCGCCAGACAAGCTGTCCACAAACTGTGTACAACACAAAAGCACTCACATCGTCCAATTCCCGGGTCGACAATTCGATCAATAATCTAACACAAACGGATCCACTAAAAAGAGCGGCTGTAAAGGAGTTGGAATATCAAACGAGCTAAACTTCGATCACATTCGAACGCCAACTGCAACAACACCACACTATTTACACAGACCTAAAACTGCATCCGATCCATGAAGCCCGAACTTGCAGGACACTGAAAAATGAAACCACAACACCCGTCTCGTTTCTGCTCGCTAATCTGAAACCAACGCAACCAACTTCCGAACGTAGATAACAACGTACCCCTACACTCAAATGTTGTGTGTATCATCCCCAGTCTCTCTGCGGGTAAACCACAGAAACACTGCACATACCAGGAAAAAATATGCAAAAAGCACTACAAAACACCCAGGCGACCTGGGGAACTGCTTGCAACTACTACCGTAAGAACCCCTAGTGTGTCCACAACAAACCGCAACAAATCATCAATGCAAATTAGATCAGATGCTTCCTGGATCAAATTATTGATTTCACAAGAAACTGTGACAAATCAAGCATGTGAGCTTCAGTGCAACCCAGGCACTCGTTTGAGAAAACTTTCCGTGTTCACAACAACAGCGCCATCGGCATTGTCGTTGGCGCGACCAAATCACCAAACCATCAAGCCAACAAATCTTGAAGATGGATACGAGCTTAGAGGATATAAATGTTGGTCAAGCATCATTAGCATCAGCAGAGTCTCAGCAGGAAAGATGCAAATTGTTTGGTGCACTGTAAATTACAGTGTTTTTGCAACATGTATGTAGTTTATGAACAATGGTGCTCGTTTTCTGGTGATTTCAATGGTGCTCGACACTACTGCTACCTCAAAACTGGATCTCCTCTTACTCCACTGAACACTAACATGGACCCTGAAAACCGCTGGTTTGTAAAGGAAAACCGTCTTTCAGGGTGCCATTCTCAGGGTCCATGTTAGTTTTCGGGAGTGTAATTAGCATTCCTTCTTCTCTAGAGCCATGTTTGATCATTTTTCATATATAAATGTTCAACGTTTTTGATGAACATACATAGTCCTGGTGATGTTAGACATGTCGGTTTGCGACATTTCTAGCACCGCCAGGACGTAGTCCCCCCGAGGGCGTCGCGCGTGGGCGAAGGCTGTCAGTAACAGATTACAACAGTAGGCGCCTCGCAACATCAAATTGATGCGTTTAAATCCGTGTAATTGCGTGATGATGTTTCATATCATCCGTGTTTTTTGGTCCACTACCAAACAACCTGTAAATCTGCGGTGATCCACATCAACCATCCCTTTGACCCGCCGCGCCCCGCCGGTGTCCCGGCGCCTTTGGCACCGACTGCGATCGTCGGTAGCCCGCGGGTTCTGGCGTCACCTAAGGGGTCCATGGGAAAACCCCGACCGTCGAACGTGTCAGAAATGCCTGGAGCACCACACGGTTGGAGATGGTTACAGAATGTATATAGCCTTGATGAATAAAACATTCAAGAGGATTGAAGAATATTGGAGAGGTCTTTTTCTTGGGGGGATTCATATGAATCAGTTTTCTACATTTGCAGAACAGAGTGGATCGGGGAGGAGGAAGAGGAGAAGGAGAGAGGAGAGGACAGCTCTGATAACATCTAAATAAACCTATTCAGGCGATCGGAGCGATCGGAAAGCGATCGCGACAACTGCGGAACAAGTGGCCAAGGGAGTCACCGCTGAATGGATGAAGGTGTTCTTCACGTGCTCTGCCTAAGGAGAAGACTGAAAAACACCAGCTGTGTCGAAAACATGTTTAATAAAGCACCTGCTCGAAAAACACCTGCTGGTTTGAAGAACATCAAACCGGTTCCCTGTTGCACCCATCATTCGATTGCATACACCAGCAAACTCCGTCAAATCACAACGAGCTCTCGTGACAATCTCTCATGAGCTCCTGTTCCACGGTACTTTTTGATTTCCCTGGATCTGCATCCTCTGATGGGTCTGGGCACCAGTTCTTGAAAGGAACAATATGGAACAATTATAGTGTGTTGAGTCATTCTAATCACCCAAGAGAGGACAAAAGGACTCAAAGCTACATTCAATTGGTGTAAAAGGCCATTCGGCTTTTGGATACTTCACCACAAAAACATATTGTAGCTCCAGTGCCACCTCAAACGCAACTTTGAAGCGACTTCCATTCCGCCTAGAACAAAGATGATATGATTATCTTTGCCAACAACAAGGAAGCTTGGTTTCATTAATAAACTCAATCAAGTAACAAGTATGTAGATAGATATTATATATATAGTCGAACTAAATCTAAACAAAAAGGATGTTTTCAAGTGGATTTGGCCGTGCACATTGCACCAAAACAACCTCCAACCACTCCAACCACTTTGGGTGTTGAGACTCCCGACGGCATCCGGAAGTCCAGGGGGGAGATCTAGAGCCTCCTGTAGTGAAAGGTTCGTCGGGTGGATGGAGGCTCCCTCAAGCGCACACGAGTCACACAAGCACCTCTTCCTATACTTGAAGTAAGAACCGAGAGCTAGCTGCAATAGCTCGAGAGCTAGCTAGCTGGCGGACAAGGAGAAGGACCCGCCAGTGACCCCACCCCTCATCCTCCCCCCTCATCCTTCACACCCTTCACAGCCTTTCGTGCAAAGAAAGTGACCCAATTTCTAGAGACTCGATGCCAGAAACGTTGTAATCAAACCAGGAGGCTTTTGTAGGAGCCCAGTTGCAATAGCTGAGGACATCGAACATCGTCGAAGGTGACGAGAGTCGCACGGGAGACTTGGCACGTTGAAACGAGTCTAGCAGGGAAACAATCAATCAACAGGTTCTGCAGAGAACTGGAATGGGCCGTGGAGTTACGCCCGGTACCAGCGCCTCGGGGTATGGATCGCGGACAACGCCCAAACAGAAACATCATATGTCTCGCTCGGCGTGAGAAAGTGGCGATTCCAAGCCTTGTCAGTCGCACGCGGAACCCCCCCTGAACCGCACATGCAGCGCTGCGTGTGTCACCTTCCTGTGATTCAACTTTCTGGTCCCTGTGTCACGCATCTTCTGAACTGCATACTTCCCCAGTTGGTGTCCAACTGGAATTTCCCAAAGTATCCCAAAGTCCTGTCAGTGGGCACTGTGTCGCACTCATCCAGGAACGCGGGCGAACCCCCCTCAAGGCCTGTTCCTGCTTTGCCGGACGTGGTCGAAAGCCATGCTCCCCAAAACCTCAAGAGCTGTGCTCCCCTCGACGTCAAGAGCTGGGGCCGCACAAGCTCCCTCGTCCGAAAGAACCGTCGGAGGGCGTTGTGCACTGGGCGTTTCGACCTATCCAATAGGCCTCTTGATCCGTCACAGAGGATCGAGCCAGATTCTCGGGCCGCAGGCAAGCGCATACTGCTTGAAAATCGTGGGGCCGCCTCCCGCATGTGCGCCCGAAAGAACTCGCCACCAGAAAGAACTCGGCATGAGAGTTGTTTTTTCTCACCGAGAGAGCTGAGCTACAAAAGTTAGTAGTAACAAGTGCCACGCTACTAGGAACAGGTGCCTTACTAGTAGTAACAATAAGAATTTAATTAGAATTGTAATTACTAGCTTCTTGTTACTATTAGTAAGGCACCTGTTACTACTAGTAAGGCACTTCTTTGACTCCTTTGATGTGATCGTTTACAGGTCGGCGAGATGTGGCCAAGATCCATGCAGCCTGCCGGATGAAAACGCAGGTGGAGATGGCATGGGAAACCGGCTGATCCCTCCGTATACTCAGAGCAGTAGTGCTGCCAAGAAGTTGCAAGCAGTTTCAATGATATACAAATTGCCACTCATTATCACTAGACAATCATACACTGCGAGGAAAATAGAGAACTGACTCAATCACTTGCGAACATGTTAGGGCGCATTCAGCCTCTAGCGCCCCTGGTCGAGGACTCAGTTAGTTCATCTAGCTGAAAGCCATGCCATGATGCTTGCACGATGACCTCGAGACGTTCAAGAGTCAAGAGAGCGGCTTAACTGGGAGTACGGAGTATAAAACAATTTTTCCGTGTCAATATCGATTTCTGTGGGTGACTATAGATGTGAATCGAACCTCCGGACCACATAGAATCTTCTACTGTGCCCAAAATGATGCGTTCCAAGCATAGCAGCACATCAAAACATTGATCCCTTGTCTATTTTAACTTACACCAACTTCTTCTTAGTACGTCCTTTAACATCCTTTAACCAAAACCAGTTCACTTTTCAGAGCTCCATCCAACTCGTCCGAAACTCTTTTTTTTCAGCGCCCACCCGTCTGGGCGCGGTCCTCAAGCGCCAACGGTTCGCCTGGGCAAAACCTGTGGCTCTGGGAGTGTCATGAGATGTTCGGTTGGCGCCGTTTTTTTTTTTTTTCGAACCCCCTTTGACGAGTTGGATGGAACAAGGAATGCAAAAATTTCGATGGAAAACGAATGGGAAACTTGAGGTCAACTCTGCCTGTACAAGTAGGGAAACATGTTCTACAGTGATCCTTATAGGCTCTAAGATGGAGATGAGAGACCGACGGGGGATCGTAGATGCAGTGCATATATATAGGGGTGTTGTGTAGGGCCAGGCGCTGGGTCACTCCCACTGGATGCCACAGTTGCAAGGAACCAATGGTTTGTTTGTAGCTCTGAAGTCGTTGGAACCGCTGCTTACCTTCCCTCAGGGATCCGTGGCATCCCACCTTCTCAGGATCGGTACCAAGTGCATGTCCGTACGGCATATCCGTAAGCTCACCGTACCGAGTCTGTTCGGTATGTGGATCCATATAGGGCTATACTCTATGTGAGTCCAACCACTGGGGCCCTGGGGGAACCCCGAGATCGGAAAGTTCGGAACGTTCCGTTGATTTGTGACTCCTCAGGTTCTGGACTCGGCGTGGTGGGCCCGAGGATGGTGTAACACTTGATCCATCCAATGAATGTCAAGCTACATATTACATATGTGGAAAACGATACTCCATGGTTTGTCTGAACATCATCTCCTGAACCAACGAAATCCATGTAATATATTCTCACTACTGAGGTGAACCCAAAGTTGACTCATATGCTTTCGCGCCCGTTGGTCCAGGCCTTGAAACCAAATTCGAGCTGGGAAGCTTCTCAGGTGTGGGATGGGACACACACACCATTCCAAAAGAAAAAGATTCGTAGCGACGCTTGGCCCCCTTTAGCCTGAGGAGAATCCAGAGGTGAAACATACCAAACTTGGGATGTCAAGACCGGCATTGAATCTATATTTATAACGTTGGGTGTATCCCATTACCAGCAACGGTGGATGATGATAGTTAGAAAAGGCCTTGTTCAAACATAGTGATAAATTGTTTACTGACTGTTACGGGTCATGTGGGACAGACCGTTCAAAAAGATCAATAATACTGCCTTCGTCGCCGATCCCCACCGGTGCACCGGCCCGAGCGGCGGGATGCGAGCTCTTGGCTCCTCCTGGAAGGCGAGGGTCGACGGTGGACTCTGCCGTTGGAGACCAATGTTAAGGAAGCAAAGAGGCACCAAATGGCACCAAGTCATGAAGGCCAAGGGGACTGCGAAGAAGTTGTATGGATCTATCAATCATCATTGGGATTTGTGAAGATCTTCATCCTCGTCCCAACAGCAGCATGTCTTCAGGTGGGCACATTGAACAAGCAATCATCCTGAAGTAAATCAAACCTGGAACGTTCCACTTCAACAAATCTCCGGGTTTTCTCCGGGTTTTGGACTTCGGACATTCTCCATCTACAACAGGATGACTGTCTCTTAACCGTTTGTTTGTTCTTGGAGATGCCTCATCTTCTTGCACCGTCGCATGCATTCGCTGAAGGATGGAGAGCTCCACCTGGCGTAGCGGGGGTGAATGAGCTACCTAGAACCTGAGTGACCCCTGTTTTGGAGTCAAAACATTGTCTTTTCCCATCAAAACAGAGGTGTCATATTAGGGGTCTAGATGGTTCTAGGTATTTCGGCCACGTGCAGAGTCAAGTGTTGGTAGGGAGTTATGCTTGCTTTTTGTCGACCAGCTTCTGAGTCTACACGGTGTACGGTTTGACTGAGGCGGGACCGAGGAAACGGATGAAGGGTGAGGAATTCGACCCTTTTGACTGCACCTCAAAGACTGTGGGGGGCCATGACTACTGAGAAACCTTTGACCCTGGAAGATGTTGGATCAGTTGGGGGTGATTGGACCACTTATTGACCATGTATCCATGTGCACCCCCTGGAAGAACCATGGTATAATATAGATGGGAAAAACGCCCGGACAAACCATGTTTTCTTGCGGAGTTGTGCTCCGTCAGTTCATGGATGGCAGTCACAGGATTGCACTCCATTTGGACAGTGCAAATACAGCACATTAGAGCCATGCTGTCCAGGAGCCGTCCGTAGTACTACGATTCATGATTCCCAGGCTAAACATCGATGATTTCATTACCTATTCCGAAGCTACTTGGGCCCTCCTGGCGCCATAAATAGTCTCCAATCACCGTACCTGAGGTTCGGTGCGGATCCCTATATAGGGCCTATAGGGTATAGATCCGCCCAACCTCGGCACCGAACTGCCAAACCCGACGGCGCCACGCTCAACCGTGACGATACGACTCGCCGACCCCAGCACTGCGGGCGGCGCCTTCATGGGTGTCTCCGGTGCTTCGGGTCCTAAGAGCTCCGGTCCGGTCCAGTCGGTCCCCGAGCTGGTCGTGTGACGTGGCACGTGGTCCAGGAGGAGTCAGGTCCGGGGGGTGCCCCGGTCGCATGTCGTGCGGTTCCCAGTGCCCGGTCGCAGGTCACGGGTCGCGACGGTTTGCAAGGACGGACATGCACGGACCTCTGAGCACGGATGGGTAGTTGTGTAATACATGTGCTCGACTCATTCACCTGGTTACCTGGATGGCATGGTCCCTTGGAAGATCATGAAATCCGAAAACCGAACAGGGGGTGCCATCCACTTCCACCATGTTAGTGAGTTGGAGTGCATATATTCTGCTTCCACGTCCATCAGAGTGGGAATCATATCCTGGAGTCATGCTCTGACTCTCGCATATGATGACACCTTCTACACCTTCTCCTTTTTCTTTTCTTCATTTTTCTGAAGGGGACCCCCGGCCTCCTCTTTTTGGATCTTCCAGTGGCCGCACCACCCTGTAGATCAGCTTAGGTTCAAAGCAATATCTAGGCTATTCTAGGCTATGATGCTGTTTGAGGTTAATTCCAACCTTTCTAAGTTAAGGCTACCTTGAAGAATCACCTCTGAGGTTATCCTTGAATTTATTCCCAACATACTCACCAAATGGCCTCTGAAAACGTTGATGGTTGATTGATTCTTTGGTGAAGTTGTAGTGAGTTTTAGTGAAACCCATGTGGAACATGATGGGATATGGATCATATCCCATGTTGTTGTAGATGTATTTGCAAATGGTTTGTCAATTAATTTCGGCATGTATGCGGAACGTCTTCTGAAAATATTGGTCAGAACTTTTGAAGGTGGAGCAACTGTGTCATGTTCATGAACTCTTAGCCCAGTCATGTATGTTTGTTGCCACGTGTTTTTGGCACACTTGCACCCATCTGTCGAAGTCGAAGAGGCCTCCAGGGAAACGACGACTTCAAAACGAACGCATGCACTTCCAGCAATGCTCCAGCTGATCGTTCACACTCCCTGGAACCAACATGGTTTCGTGGATGGAATGGTCCCGAGTTCGACGTGAAATCCAAAGACCCAACAGGGGGGTGCCATCCACTTCCACAATGTTAGTTCCAGGTCCAGTCGTTTTCACACTGGTCTCTCTCTCTCGAACCAGATCGAAAGTGCTTGTTCCTAACTCCTTGGGAAATTCCTTGAGAGGCCTGCAATCCGGCTTTTTGTCGAACACTTATTCTCATGGCTTGCAAAACCAGCCGATCTGGTCAACGTATATCCGACCGTCGTGTCTTCGCGATCCACCGAAACCCGGCTCTCAGAGCCCCGAGGGCCAAGTCGTGGCTGGAATGGTGCACGCTGATGATCAGCAGCGCTCTGATCGAGTAGCCGGAGCGAAAGGGGCACTTATGAAGCGAATCTGTTTGCAAACACCGGAAAAACTGAGCAAACCAGCTGAATCACGTCAGTCTGAGCGTCTCGCCGACAGTATACCTCACCAATTCACAGAAGGCTTGCTCAGGTCATCAATATCAATGCTTCTTTCTCTACTCCAAGCCCTGAAAGTCTCGGGTGGGATCTCCCAACCTCCTGATCCTGCCCCCCTGACCACTGGGACCCCCCGGCCATCATGCTCGGCCGGCGCTGGACTGGGAGGCTCCGTGCGCGAGCGGCTGCGCTCGCGCGCGGCTTGGTCGCCCGTACGGGCTGAGTCGACGGTGCTGTCCTGCGGTGTGGGGAACAGGACGAACTCATCCAACCTAGTAGCGATGACCTCCAACCTAAGAGCCCTGGCCTCCAAGCTAGTAGCAATGGCCTTCAACCTAATAGTGATGGCCTCCAACCTCATGGCAATGGCCTTCAACCTAATAGTGATGGCCTCCGACCTGATAGCGATGGCCTTCAACCTAATGGGTCGACCCTGAACCTCACATTGACTCCATTGACATGGACCCTGTGGTGTTTGGGGTCCATGTTAATCTGCAAGAGGGTTGTTCGGATGAGCAAGAAAGAGTTCTGTGCGACTGTGCGACACCTTCATTCAACGAGGGACAGTCTTTCTTCGCACACCAACCCCCCCGATCCGTCACCCTCTTCATATCTAGACTCATGACGTGGTCGCTCCCGATGGGCCGTAAACGTGATCCTGTGCATGTCTGACATGGACTTGAGTCCCCTGTGTCTGGACCGCGCACGCTCGACGCCGACTGATGCGCACAGAGCGCTTTGGTAGTGTCCCGTGTTGGGCCCAAGCCTCCCGTCTCGAGGGAAGCACGCAAATTGGTGGTCAAGTAGGTCAACAAGCGGGTCAACAAAATATCTTAAGAGCCTGATAGGTTCACTCGAGCGCCAGCAAACGTGGTCAAGTTTGGCCAAAATCCCATGAGCAGGGCCTAGTGGATGATGATGGTTAGGTTGCAGGCCTTTCCCAAAACTAGTGATAAGATTTTACCGATGGGCTACACGCTATGTCGCTATGTCAAGTCAAGCACGAACCTCAAGCACGTCTCCATCCGCCTCCCAACACAAAGAAAAGTAATCTTTACCTCTCAAAGGCTTCTACTGGAGCCTTTCTGGTAGCAGAAGTGATCAACGCTCTAGTTAGTGGGCCCACGACGGAGGGGTTCGCTTTCTGATGAACCACCCCTGTAAGTCTTCGTGCTAGACCGCCTTCCAAGTGTCCGAACATTCACGCCGTGACCGCCTTCGCAGGGTATAACTTAGAATCCACCCAGAACGAATCAAGAACTATCAAGCACCAATCTGGCAATCGGTACGATGCCTGGATCTGTTTCTCCGTCTTGGGTCCACGACGGCGCCCAATTCACCCGCGTCGACGGTGCCCTTCCGACCGTACGTTGCCCTTCCAACCCTTCCGATCACCTCTTTGATTTCTCATCAGCTGGTGAACAAGTCATGCAACATGGGACTATAGAGTCAAATCATATCCCAAGCTCGCAAAAATCTGGGATGATTTCAAAGTGACAAGCTCCAAACACCCTGTGAAAAGCATAAAACTGCCAGTTCATACCATGTGATGCCGTCATCAGCTTGGGTTTATCCATAAAATGCCATTTCCTCTTTCTTTCTTTCAATTGGCTTCCAAAATCGGCCTCTCTCCCTCGCTCCGTGAGTCTTCACCGACGGTTCGGTGTCCGTCGCGTCGCAGCCAGCGCCATCGGAGCAGCCCGGACCCACGCCTGATGGATCGGCAGAGCCGGTGGGAGCCGATAAGAGATTCCATGGATGGGTTTGAGATGGTTTAAGATGGTTTAAGAGGGATCAAGAGGGTAGATCTAGTAGGTTGGAGGCCATCGCTCTTAGGCCATCGCTCCTAGGTTGGAGGC